CAAAGTAGTGGCTCCAGCTGCCAAAGACATAGGAGCGGAGTAATGGGAAAATGGCAACCCAGAGTCCTCCATGTGCATTACAGTAGGCTGAGATGTTTCTGCTTCTCTTATTCACTTAACTGTAGGAAAGGATTAAGAATGCAGCAGTTTTAGACTTGACTAATACATGGATGTGTGTGTAAGAGGGGTTTGAATGGCATGAGGTAGACCAAGAAAAAGGGAAATCCATATGGTGTATGTGAGATCTGTGCCCAATTAGTCGGTCAACCAAACTCAGCCCAGATGTTGGTATGTAGTTATCAGATGCTAACCTTTCACTGAAGTCCCTAATTTTTTTCTACCTTTTTCTCTGTCTTTCTCATATGCATGTGTATGAGAGAAATGCACATGGTGATAAGCTAATCCTTTTGGACTAAAGCTGTAGACAGTCTTTTGGGCTTCAGAGTAATTGAAAATAGGAGTTGACATGTCAAGAAAGCACTCACTTCAATTAACAACAGTGAAGTTTCAACATTAACTCTGAATGACTTGGGGAAAAGATAACTAGGTTTGACATGCTAAGAAAGCATTTTATGCAGCTTTGTGGTGGCTCTGAGTCTTTATCATGAAAGATTAGTGGCTCAATTAAAAACGTTAAAAATAAATAAATATTTTGCGTGACTTTGAACGCCTCTGCTGCTTAATTATAGTCAGTAAAATATTCCAGAGCTCAACTGTTGTTGGGAGCTGCCTGTTTTCAGTAAGCAGCTCCTTTCCGGAAGGAACGGCACAGGCTCAAGAAACATCAAGCCACACAACTGACCAAGATAAGAACACAGCTAAAAACCATCTAAGCTACATTAAGCTCTGGCAAATGAAAGGTTTGAATCCAGTACCTAAAATCTGGACCATATTGCAAGATATCTCATACCATTTCTTCCTTCATTGTATTTTGTTTCAGTTTATAATCCAGTCAACCACAATTTCGAGGTTCTGGTTGAGAACAAATATTACTTGTCAGTGAATATGAAAAACACACCTGATTTCTTCAGCATACTGATACCACCTTGGGATAATCTCTCCAGTCTTATTATACAGATGTTTGGAAAGACTTCTAGTTTAATGTGTACAATTTCCCAGGATGATAACAGTTTAACACTACAGTTTATTTTCAGTAACATGCAATTCAATAGGAACAAGGTAGCAAAACTGCATGCAACTGCTTCAGATGCAACAGGTGGCAATGACATAGGTACCTAGGCAGGCCGTCACAACATGATTCCAGCACAGGGAACTGCTGAACTGCATATAACCTAGCTGTTTACATAAACCACGAATTGCTGGACTGTTTACAATAGTGACCTTGTCTGTAGCCTTCCACACTTGCAATTTGTGCAGGGTGGAAATTTCTCAACCACAGTGGGAATAAATTTAAGGTTGGGCTTCCAATACTGTTTCCTAATTTAGGGCCTTGCTTCCACTTTGGATAAGTTGTCTAAATTGCTTGCTTGTACATATGTCCTCTTATTTTGCTAGCCCATGTTTCTTTTTCTAGCACTCTTAATACTGAAGCTCACCACTTCCCGACCTCTTAGAAGAAGCTACAACATTGCCTTATAGGCAGTCCAAGAGAAAAGATTTTGACAGTAATAGAGTAACTTCTTCCAGTTTTATTCAGATAACCTCCACTTGATCAAACAAGGAACATTTAAGGAAAAGCCATGCCCTTTTCTCTGCTTGCTGCTGCTGTTGTGGTGTGGTATCAAGTTGTCCCTGATTTATGGTGACCCTTTGAATGAAATACCTCCTTTCAGCCTGGATCAGCTTTTGTAAATTCATAGTTGTGGCTTCTTTTATGGAGTCTATCCACCTCAGACTTGGTCTTCCTTTTCTTCTGCTTTCAACTTTCCCTAGCACGATTGTCTTTTGCAGGGAATCTTGCCTTCTCACGATGTGCCCAAAGTATGGCAGCATTAGTTCTGCCATTTTTACTTCTAGGGAAAATTCTGGCTTGATAAACTTGCTTGTCTTTCTGTCTGTCTAGGGTATTCTTAAAGCTCTCCTCAAGTACCATGTTTCAAGTGCATCAGTTTTCTTCCTGTCAGTTTTCTGGGCAAACAACAGTTTCTTTAACTTTAGGACAATTCTGTAAAACTTCCATAGACTTGCTATCTGTAGTTTATAGCAATTATATAATTTCTTACCAGGGTTGCTAGGTCCTCTGTGGGAAGGTTTATTGGATTCTGAAAGAAATGCTGCCTACGTGAAAGGCATTGAAATCATGATTTGCTTCCGAGGTGTCTGTCATCTGTCCTCCCTCCTTCCCTCTCTCCCCCTTTCCCCCTCCCCTCCCCCCTTCTCTCTCTCTCTCTCTCTCTCTCTCTCTCTCTCTCTC